AAAACAAACTTAGCTGGGCATGGTGGTACACATCTGTAGTCCCAGCCACTCCAGGGACGGAGACAGGAGGATCGCTTGAGTCCAGGAGGTGGAGGGGGCCTGCAGTGAACCGAGAGTGGCACTCCAGCCAGTGTGACAGAGCAAGACCCTGTTGCAAATAAAAAAAAAATTGTGGTAAAATACATCTAACATATCATTTACCATCTTAACTCTTTTGTAAGTATGCAGTTCTGTAGTGTTAAGTGCATCGACATTGTTGTACAACCAACCTCCGGGACTCTTCATGTCTTGTGAAACTTTACCTCTGCACCCATTGAATTCCCTACTCCTCCTTCCCACCAGGCTCTGGCAACCACCGTTCCATTTTCTGTCTCTGTGAATTTGACTACTGCCTCTTCTATGTGGAATCAAACGGTATTTATTTTCTTTATTCTGGCTTATTTCACTTAGCATGCTTTCAAGGTTCATCCGTGTTCTAGCGTCCTTTTCTCTCTTTTTCTGAGATGAAGTCTCGCTCTGTCACCCAGGCTGGAGTGCTGTGGCACAATCTTGGCTCATGCAGCCTCCACCTCCTGGGTTCAAGTGATTCTCCTGCTTCAACCTCCTGAGTAGCTGGGATTACAGGTGTGTGTCACCACACCTGGCAAATTTTTGTATTTTTAGTAGAGATGGGGTTTCACCGTGTTGGTCAGGCTGTTCTCACACTTCTGATTTTGTGATCTGCCCTCTCTGGCCTCCCAAAGTACTGGGATTACAGGCGTGAGCCACCACTCCCGGCCCTTTTCTCTCTTTTAGAGATCCTAGTTTACATTTGGCAGGTGAGATCTTATTTAAAAAGTCCTTTTAATTTATTTCTTATGGAGACCCACAGAAAGTTTAGCTGGTGAACACAGGTGTGGGTCTCGGCAGAACCTCCCAGGGTCTTGGTTTATAATGCACCTATTTCTCACAAGGGTTAAGGCTCCTGAATGTGGAAAAAACACATGCTGGATCACATCATCTTCCTGAGAGTCACCCTCGGGCTGTCGGACCTTTTTGACTCAAGGGATCCCCTTGGGAGCTGGAGGTAGTGCAGCCTAGAGTGCGGGGTACCGGTATGACTGAGGGCTGGGTCTCTGGCAGCCGCTGGGTGTGCCATTCAGGACGGTATCGCTCACCTCTTGGGATTTGCAGGCTCAGCGGTGGTCTTAACGATCAGCCGAATCGATGTTCTCAAATGCCAGGTCGCCCTGTGTCTTGCTGGCCAGCGAGGTCCTCTTAACCTGTTGGTCTGCTTTCTTTGTTACAGAGTTGGTCTGGCTTATACTGCTGAAGGTCATGGGATTTTTGTTAGCATATTATTGAAATGAGACATTTGTGGCACCAGCATTGTATTGTTTCTGCTCATATGAGCCCTCGTGTCTTTCACATACGGTTAGTCTGATTGCTTTTTCTAGCCTGGGACTTTGCCTTGGAGAGAGGCCTAGCAAAATACCATTCACAGCCTTCTTCCATGGGGAAGGGTGACTAAGAGTTTAGTGCTGGAAGAGCAGAAGAGGAAAGCTGGAAGGTTAGAAATGAAATCGGAGCTGTTGATGTGTGTTTCTCTATGGTACAGTGGGCAAGCCCTGGTCTTGGGTTGATCGCTAACTATTCATGCAGTGCCTTGGGCAAGTCCTTTCGCCTCTCAGGACCTCTGACTGTCTCCCTATAGAACGGGGAAGGTGGTCAGGCGCAGTACCTCATGTTAACCAGGGCTTTGGGAGGCCGAGGTGAGAGGATCACTGGGAGGTTAGGAGTTTGAGACCAGCCTCAGCAACAGAGCAAGACTCCGTCTCAATTTTAAAAGATAATAAAAAGAATGGGTGGATCAGGCATGGTGGCTCACCCCTATAATCCCAGCACTTTGGGAGGCCGAGGCGAGTGGATCGCTTGAGGTCAGGAGTTTGAGACCAGCCTGGCCATTGAAATCAGTTAGTGAAACCCCATCTCTACTAAAAATACAAAAAATTAGCCCAGCTTGCTGGCAGGTGCCGTTAATCTCAGCTACCTGGGTGGTTGAGGCAGGAGAATCACTCGAACCTGGGAGGTAGAGGTTGCAGTGAGCTGAGATCATGCCACTGCACTCCAGCCTGGGCTACCAAGCGAGACTCTGTCAAAAAAAAAAAAAAGGTGATTTCTGCCCTACCCAACCTGCAGAATTAGAGGATTCCATGGAAAAGGGTTGATGACTAGGCTCAGTGAATGTTAACTTGATCCTAGGGTCAAGCAAGGCAAATGTCATTTTAAGGTGATTAAGACCCACTCGGAGTTAAGAAGGGGTCCTCATGGTCATTTCTCATGGCAGTGACATTTACATGGCTGGGTATGGAGAGCACCCCATTCTTCCCCTGCACCCTCCACTCCCACCCTCCCTGCTCTTGAGCTGCCTGAGGATGGGTGGTTTGCAACTCCTCCCACAAAGACTTCTATCACTGGTTTTGTCTCTGAATTACTGTGGTGAATAGACATTTCTAAATAATTTTATGTACTATGTGTGGTTTTAACCAACTTTGAGCTTTAAAGACCAATCATCCAGGGACATAATGGGGGAAAATCAAACTTGTTGTAGCCACTGAAGACATACCCATGAGTTTGTCTGTAGGCATCACTGGTCTCATTAGATAGAGTCATAGGAGTTTGGAGCCAGGTAAGTATGACAGCAGGTTCTTAGAGGTCATAAAATAGGGTTTTTAATTTTCCTTTCAAGTCTTTCTCAGCACCAAGCACAATTCTCAATAGGGGCTGAGTAAATCCTTGGATCTTCTAACAGTTAGAAGATGTTATTTTGAGGAAACAGCCAAAAGAATCATGTAGATATGGGGCCAAGGAGCTTGAAAGCTTTGCAGTCAGCATGGCAGGAACGGATTTACCTCGAGCTGGAAAGAGACCACGTGTGAATTCATCAGTTACAACAGAGGCCAGGAAAGAGAAGGTAGTGGCCAGTCCAAGTCTCTCTGCTCTACTAGAGTACAGATAAGTTCCGCAGTAACACAGATTGACTATAGAGGACTCTTAAAACATCACTGATCAGTGATTCAAGTACATTGAAAGGATGTTGTAAGAATCTTTAGGTAGATGTCTATCATACAGAGAATTTTCCGTATCTAAACCACTGGATTTATCCGACCTTCATTCCCCATATTGCTCCATCCCTGGTGTCTACTCAGTTTTCAGCCAAATCAAGGTCGGGATAAAGAAGAGATTTGGATGGAAGTAAGGTGGATATTCAGGCTCCTGCAGTAATACTCAGTTATTGAATTCTCTAGAAACACCAACTCTGCTATAATGAAGTCCTCGGTTTTGAAATATCTTTACAAATCAGGTGATTCCGTATTGGCAACAGTCAGCTTGCTGTTTCCTGCTGTTTCCTGCTTTGTTATAAAAATAAGATGCTAAAATCCTGAGAGCTTGCTTGGATTGTTAAAAGATCATAAGTATTTTAATACACATTATTCTTCATGCAACTCTGAACCTTAAATGCCCCGAAACAGGGTAAGATGGGAATCCAATGGAAGAGCAATCAGCTGGTGTCATCATCCTGAGACTCCAATCCTGTCTGCTATTATTCTGGGCAGCTCCTGGCCACTCTGTGGTCACAACTGCCAGGCTGAGAGTCAGGGCTGCCGGAAATACCATAGCTGAGATGCGTGATTCTCATTTAATTTTAGTATAGTGGATCCAAATCAAAACAAAACAAAAAGGTTCATTAACATCAAGGTTTGTAGTATGTATTTTCTAGCACATTTGACATGATTTTGATGTGTGATCGATCGTATTTTTGTGCCCTAGCTAATTTCTTCTTCGTCCCTACTCCTGCTCATCATGTAATGTGTCCCTATACCTGCTCTACTATTTGTACCTCCGGCAATGAGATTCCAGTGGGCAGAATGTGTCACGGCATTTCTGCTTGCTAACAGTATTGCTGTCCTAGATAACCAGAGACCCCGGTTGACTGGTGAAGCATTTACCGTATCGTTCTTCAGATTCCTCTATGTGTGTGTGTGTGTGTGTGTGTGTGTGTGTTTGCTTCTGCCAAACTTACAAATGTATTACTCGAACCTGTGTTTCTCATATTGAAGGTGATTGATAATGCATTAACGAATACAATTTGCCATGTACTGTTTTGGTGATAGTAATTGATACTGCCTCTTGGGCTGGATGTAGTAACATTTTTGACTAAGGATTTTCTAACATTAATCTAAACCAATCTTTCATTTAGAATATAACCTACTTGCCACTCTAAGGACATTTTACTAAGACTGGCATGGTTATAAAGTTTTCTACTAGATGTCTTAAAATAGTGAAAACGCTCATCTATAAATGCAGTAAGTGTCTTCATCATATATTGATCTTTCCTATTTTCTTGCCTCTCGTGTTACCACAGTGTAGGTGGTAACATATCTGCAAAATGTTTTATAGGGTATGGAGTGCAACATTTTAAGCCAAGAAATTGAAAACAGGATAAGAAACAAGAGAAGAGGGGGAAGGAGGAAGTCGATCAAGGTCATCTCCGTATATTAAGGATTTAGTGGTAGAAATGCCAAGAAAGGCAAGTTTGCGTTTGTAGCAGGCAGATGGCACAAGAAAATGTTAGAAAACCCACTTGGTCTCAGAAAACGTAATCAGGAGTTCTTTGCCGTATATGTTCGTGAAATTATGAGCAGGTTAGCAAATATTAAGCTACATGCTATGCCTTTAAACCATGTGAATTTGACATTTTGTGTATCTGTAGGTGATTTCAGTGCCCAAGTGTGAGCAGGGTCAAGGTGATAAGCAGAATACTCACACGGATAGCGTCTGCACTGTGAAATATGAAACCTGTTTACAACAAAGCAAACCTAATGGTTTTTGAAGATGCATTTTCAGAGTATCTCAATCACACATACTTGGGGAAATGTTTTGAGGGAAGTGTGGGGAGGGGTTGCAGGTGTGTGAGTGCAGATGGACTTGGCCTTATGCTAGTTTCTCTTCTCTTTCAGCACATCAGGTCCACCCATCTGGCCGGGCAGTACCTTCTTCAAGAGAAACGGAGCCCTTCTCCAAGGTAGGTCCTTAGCAACACCCCTTCCTCTCCCCCAGCCCACCCCCACCCCCATCCCCTTTCACCACTCCTTTGTGCTTGGTGTCAAATAGGAGAGTCCTGTCTCGTTTAGGAGTGGCTGCTCTCTGGAGAAGTGTGACGGTTGTGGGTTGGGTCTGTTTGTCCAGTTCTCTCTATTTCTTACTACTCATGTCTCTTGGTGGCTGTGAATCATGAGTCTGAAACCAGGCCTCTAAAGATTGCTTCTTTGGCCCGCCGTCACTGGTCATATTCTGGAAGTGTTTGGCTTGCTCTGGTAACATGGCAATTACGTTGTAATTCGAATGCGACAGGAACACAAACTAGGCTGATAAAAGCAAACCACTTGACATGTTTCAAAAACTTGAGCTGAATAAGGAGGGTTTGGGTATTCTGGCACTTTTGTCGTCATGGAGGTACATGTGTTTCTTGCTGTTCCCTAACATCCACATGTACCTGGAAGGTTGGCTGTGGTTTGTTCTGAGGTTTGGAGTCCGGTCACCCCACGTTGGCCCCCGTAAGTATCACCTGGGGGGACCCCCTCAGCTGCCTCGTGCTAGCCGCTATCCAGTGTGCTCACGGAATTCCAGCGACCTTTCATCTCTGCTTTTGCCGTTAAGTTTCTTCTGAAATGACCAAAGTTAAGGAGGAATAAATGATTTTTAAAATAGCAGGAGGGGGCATTTTTAATAGTTTTAGAAGTGACTGTGGGGTTATCGCTATTTTGGATATCTGTTCTGTAAATAAAATGGAACTGAATGGTTCCCAGGGGCCTCGGAGCTTTCCATGCCTCTGACTGCTGTTGATTGGCTAGGAGTCAGACAGGCCCTGCTGGCCCAAAGCAGGTGGATTTGGCTGTGCTAAGAGCTTTTGAACTACACTGGGCTTATGATGAGAGATTTTAATGTCTGTTGGTTGGTTGAGAGCTATGTAGCGTCTTCCCCTTCAGAGTACAGGCTGACAGCCGGCGGTGTGTGTGTGAAGGAGTAGAATGTAAATGTGGATAAGAAGAGAGACATGTGTCTCCAGGTGTCCGTAGTAGCCCAAATCCTCGTGAGGGCCGTCATCACATTTTTAGTGCTGATTTACAGGCCACGCAGTCGAATATTGTCATTTTAATAGCCGGTGAAATTGGGAGCTCAAGCATTTCTTTGTACTTTTGCTTGGTACAGGTGAAATGTAGTCAGGCAAGTTTGGTTAATTCTAATTTTCATAATCGTCATAGATATCCTAAATGTTTAAGAAAACAAAAGGAAGTCCCTCCACTCTAAAAAATTAACACAAAATTTGAAAAAATCTGTTCTGTTTTCCCTTCAGATAGTAGAAGTGGAAACTGATTAGGATCAGCCTTTGGGCTCTTTTCGAGTGAGTTTCAAAGTTATATGTGTCTTTGTCGTCTAGAATTGTAGCACTGATATGAATATCATTTGGTTTGGATTATTTTGAGAAAAGAGATTTGTTTTCTTACAACCTTTTCTCAGGATTTTTATTCATTCACTTTGGCATTAGGTAAGATTTGCTCTAAGCATATTCATTTTTTTGTTTGTTTCTGTGGGGCAAAAACATGAGAGAAATACCAATATTGATAATGTTTCTGAAGTTGAAAGATGTGTGAGATTCTATCCCGTGGGTGTCGACATCTTTTCTCTTCCTGATAGGGTTACAAATTCCCCTGATTGCTCTAGGCACTGTGAATTAAACTGGTACAGATTTCAGATGCTTTTTGAGTCCACATCCAGTTAAGTGTAACCCGTTAAAATTTTGTGCATTTGAAAATCCAAAGAATCTTGGTATGGAGGGTGGGCAGGGATTTGTTAACATTCATTTTTTTCTGTGATGTTTCTTCATTCCCTGTGTCTGTATAGAGTTCTGGAGACACTTTTGCTGTGCTAACATTTTTGGGAATATATGGGTATTCTTCCTAATTAATACTTTTGTGTTCCTCTGGTGGGTGATACTGGGCCATGGGAAAGTTGCGAATGCCCACAGGCACGAGTTTTACGATTAAAGATATGAGTCCCTAAAGAAGAGGCTGTCTAGTCATGCCAGGGGAAGGTTTGGGTCAGAATCAAGTAGAAGAAGATGTACCTGTTCAATGCCATTTTCTCAACTTTATGATTTCTCACTTCCTATTTTCAAAAAACGTACACACATCCCTTCCTTTTCCCTATAGCAAGTGGGAGGAAATTTTCCTAGATAATCAGATCAGTAGGGAACTCTGTTAGTCGGTTCCAGCCACAGGCATTGGAGTTGACGGCAATCAGAACCAGGAGCCTGTCCCTAAAGATGCCAATTCCTAGCTCTGGGGGAGAAGGTGCAGTTTGGTCACATGGAGGTGACACAGGAGTCTTTCTTGAGGGCGCTGTGGCACTAGTGACTGGCCAGCAGAAGCCAGCCTGAGTCGTGAGTCATGAGTTATGGATCACTAGCAGGACTGGCAGAATTGAACCAGGGTGAGAGATAAATTGCTTCGTGAAGTGCTTCGCTGTTGTTGTTACTGCTGTTGAGACAGAATCTCGCTCTGTTGCCCAGGCTGGAATGCAGTGGTGCCATTTCCCCAGGACTGAGACTCAATAAGGCAGGATAGGAAAATAAGCTGGATGGAAAGGAAAATGGTTTGGCTGTGTCCCCACCCCAATCTCACCTTCAATTCTAGCTCCCATAATTCCCACGTGTTGTGGGAGGAGCCTGGTGGGTAGTTTGAATCGAATCATGAGGGTAGTTTCTCCTATGTTGTTCTCATGGCAGTGAATAAGTCTCATGGGATCTGACGGTTTTATGAGGGCTTTCTCCTTTTGCTTGGCTTCCATTCTCCCTTGTCAGCCGCCATGTGAGACGTGTCTTTTGCCTTCCACCATCATTGTGAGGCCTTCTCAGCTACGTGGAACTGTGAGTCCATTAAACCTCTTTTTCTTTATGAATCTCCCAGTCTTGGGATGTCTTTATCAGCCATGTGAAAATGGACTAATACAGTGGGGGTGCCCTGTCCTATAGAGGAGGGAGACCTATTTTTGTCAGGGTGGGAGCAGAGGGGCTGTCACTTCTTGGGAGAACTGACACTTAAGCAAGGCCTTAGAAAAGCAGATCCATATGGGTGTGTGGAAATAGAAAAAAAAAAAAAAAGTCGTTGCAAGAAAGAGAAACAACCAGAGAACTTAGCATCACAGAGAGCATAGCAACAGTGTGGAACGTGAGGACTTCATAGACACCTTTGGATAGTGACGAGAAAAATGATGCGGTGTCTCGAAGAGGAAATAATGAAAGTGAAAACCTGAAATGAAGTTGAAATCAAAACGACATGATAGTTACAGCAGGACACCAGTCTTCACTGTCGAATCGTTGTTTGGTTTAGAGTGGAAACTTAGTACCTTTATTTTTCCCAGCACAAAACCAATTGCAAGAACTAACTGGTTGTGCTCGAGGTCCTTCGTGGACGTCAGGTACAGTGCCTGTATTTTGGTTCAGAATCACTGGCAAGCCGGGCTGCTGAATCACCTCTCGGTTTCGAGGATAATGGGGTAAGATTTGGTTTGGATTACACCAGGCATGGGTACTTAACATAATTGGTCATTTCATCAGTTCACAGTCTTTATTTTAAATGCCGTTTAGGCTGCTACAGACAGTTTCAGCAGGCTGGAGAGCACTTCAGTTCTTGTGCAATGGAAACCAGCAGAGCGTTAGTAGGGGACAAGCTCATTGTTCAAAGGGGACCCAGGGCGTGCTGAACAGAAGAGTGGCTTATTCAGAGCCCTGCGGGCGTGGCCAGCTGACAGGTGTCCCCGCTGTCCCTAATAGTTGTGTCTGTGCATCTCTGTGTTATGGTCTCTATGTGTTTGAAATGTGTTTTTTATTTTATCCATTTAATTCATTTGCTAATCTCTCTTATTTTGTTAATGAAAAGGATAAAGCCTTTTTTACATTTTCCCATTTCCAAACTCCCTGTCCCCCTCCCCTAGATCCCATTTACCCATCACACTTAAAATTAGGTTACTTTATGTAAACATCACCCTCGGATGATTTGTTGTAATGAGTCAGTGATTTATAATGAAAGACATTCCTCACCCCTGGTCTGACCCTTCATCTGGTCTCTGATGGTCTCATCCCAGAACGACACAGGCACCTCTGCTTTTGTTAGCTTCATGCCTTCTGCTGAAAGTTGCCACAAGCCATGCTGATCGTATTCCCCACTTCTGCCCTCTTGGCCTTTGTAAGCCCTGTCGGCCTCAGAGCTCCCCCCGGAATTTTGTTCTTGTTCAGAGAGGAGCTGCTGCCTGGCCATTTGGGCCTGCTTTTATTTCTAGCTCTTCCTCTGAGCAGGCATTCGCTGAACCTACCCTTCCCACGCCGCCTGCAAGCGTTTCTTTATGCTACGTCGCTGTGCGCCCAGCCCTGGGCTAAGCTGGAGATCCCCAGGGGAAGCCCAGGCCCCACCCCCTCAACCACTCACAGCCCATTCTGTGGTCTGACCAGGAGTCCTAACCCTTCTTGGAAAAGGCTGCTTGGCCCACCCACTCCAAGAAACCCAGCCACCATCAGCACCGATGAAGCCACTGGTTTGCCACATCTTCCCAGTGACTCAGTTGACACTGTTACACCCCTCTGGTCATTCTTCCTTCTCCATTTTCTCCATCACTCTCGTATTAGGCCACTAATTACGATCAACTAAGGTCCCTAGGTAACAGTGGTAGAATTAAAATAAATTATCGAACAGATTTGACTTCCACTCACTTCTGTTTTGTTTTGTTTTTTCCCCCCGGATGTTGTTGTAGTTGAGATGGAGCCTCGCTCTGTCTCCCAGGCTGGAGTGCAGTGGTGCCATCTTGGCTCACTGCAACCTCTGCCTCCCGGGTTCAAGTGATTCTTCTGTCTCCGCCTTCGAAGTAGCTGGGATTACAGGCGCCCACCACCATACTTGGCTAATTTTTATGTATTTTTAGTAGAGATGGGGTTTCGCCATGTTGGCTAGGCTGTCTTGAACTCCTGAC